TACTTTTTGCAGTTTTTGTTTGCGGGATACCATTTTTTTTAGCAAGATTATTGTTTTCTGTTTAGTATTAAATTAATAATTAAGATCCATTTTGTTACATCTGGTGATCCGTTTATATGGCAATCGACAATGGCAGTCAGCAGGGTTTAAGAACATCCGTTGTTCGACCTGCGAGTCAAATTAATTTTGTTAAAATAGACTTTTTCACTTTTTTTGTCTTTTGAAAATGTTGTTTGTGCTGTATTTAGACCCCTGTAACAAGAAATTGGTTTTGCATGCACACGTATAAAAATTGCAATTTTATCCAACGCAATCATAGGTTTAAACGTTTTTTTTCAATTTAGACTTGTTTATATTTTTCGTTGGGCTTGTAATATATTTGCCTACGGGTTTATATGATCCGTTCATCCTATTTCGACTTTCAAAATTCAAGAGTCTATCCTAAATTGAGGTAAATTCTATGGCCTTTCCAAATACCGTTTCGATTCCTAACATCACTGAAGAGACATTAAATTGTCGAAATCCGGATTTGGTGTACAAATTTTTGCAGTTTTTGTTTGCGGGATACCATTTTTTCCGCAAGTTTATTGTTTTCTGTTTGGTATTAAATTAATAGATAAGATCCATTTTGTTACATCTGGTGATCCGTTTATTTGGCAATCGCCAATGGCAGTCAGTAGGGTTGAAGAACATCCGTTGTTCGACCTGCTAGTCAAATGCGTTTTGTTAAAATATAATTTTTCACGTTTTTGGTCTTTTGGAAAATGTTGTTTGTGCTGTATTTAGACCCCTCTACCAAGAAATTTGTTTTGCATGCACACGTATAAAAATTGCGGTTTTTATCCAACGCGATCATAGGTTTGAACGTTGTTTTCAATTCATACTTGTTTATATTTTTTCGTTTGGGCTTGTATTATATTTGCCTTCTGGTTTATATGATCCGTCCATCCTATTACGACTTTCAAAATTCAAGAGTCTATCCTAAATTGAGGTAAATTATATGGCCTTTTAAATACCGTTTCGATTCCTAACATCACTGAAGAGACATTAATTGTCGAAATCGGGATATAGTGTACTACTTTTTGCACCTTTTATTTGCGGGATACCATCTTTTCCGCTAGTTTATTGTTTTCTGTTTGGTATTAAATTAATAGTTAAGATCCATTTTGTTACATCTGGCGATCTGTTTATTTGGCAATCGCCAATGGCAGTCAGCAGGGTTTAAGAACATCAGTTGTTCGACCTGCTAGTCTAATGCGTTTTGTTAAAATATACTTATTCACTCTTTTGGTCTTTTGGAAAATGTTGTTTCTGCTGTATTTAGATCCCTCTAACAAGACATTTGTTTTGTATGCACACGTATAAAAATTGCGGTTTTTATCCAACGCAATCATAGGTTTGAACGTTTTTTTTCAATTTAGACTTGTTGATATTTTTTCGTTGGGCTTGTATTATATTTGCCTTCGGGTTTATCTGATCCGTTCATCCTATTTCGACTTTCAAAATTAAGTGTCTGTCCTAAATTGAGGTAACTTATATGGCCTCCCAAATACCGTTCCGATTCTTAACATCACTGAAGAGACATTAATTGTCGAAATCCGGAGATGGTGTACTACTTTTTGCAGTTTTTGTTTGCGGGATACCATTTTTTTTAGCAAGATTATTGTTTTCTGTTTAGTATTAAATTAATAATTAAGATCCATTTTGTTACATCTGGTGATCCGTTTATATGGCAATCGACAATGGCAGTCAGCAGGGTTTAAGAACATCCGTTGTTCGACCTGCGAGTCAAATTAATTTTGTTAAAATAGACTTTTTCACTTTTTTTGTCTTTTGAAAATGTTGTTTGTGCTGTATTTAGACCCCTGTAACAAGAAATTGGTTTTGCATGCACACGTATAAAAATTGCAATTTTATCCAACGCAATCATAGGTTTAAACGTTTTTTTTCAATTTAGACTTGTTTATATTTTTCGTTGGGCTTGTAATATATTTGCCTACGGGTTTATATGATCCGTTCATCCTATTTCGACTTTCAAAATTCAAGAGTCTATCCTAAATTGAGGTAAATTCTATGGCCTTTCCAAATACCGTTTCGATTCCTAACATCACTGAAGAGACATTAAATTGTCGAAATCCGGATTTGGTGTACAAATTTTTGCAGTTTTTGTTTGCGGGATACCATTTTTTCCGCAAGTTTATTGTTTTCTGTTTGGTATTAAATTAATAGATAAGATCCATTTTGTTACATCTGGTGATCCGTTTATTTGGCAATCGCCAATGGCAGTCAGTAGGGTTGAAGAACATCCGTTGTTCGACCTGCTAGTCAAATGCGTTTTGTTAAAATATAATTTTTCACGTTTTTGGTCTTTTGGAAAATGTTGTTTGTGCTGTATTTAGACCCCTCTACCAAGAAATTTGTTTTGCATGCACACGTATAAAAATTGCGGTTTTTATCCAACGCGATCATAGGTTTGAACGTTGTTTTCAATTCATACTTGTTTATATTTTTTCGTTTGGGCTTGTATTATATTTGCCTTCTGGTTTATATGATCCGTCCATCCTATTACGACTTTCAAAATTCAAGAGTCTATCCTAAATTGAGGTAAATTATATGGCCTTTTAAATACCGTTTCGATTCCTAACATCACTGAAGAGACATTAATTGTCGAAATCGGGATATAGTGTACTACTTTTTGCACCTTTTATTTGCGGGATACCATCTTTTCCGCTAGTTTATTGTTTTCTGTTTGGTATTAAATTAATAGTTAAGATCCATTTTGTTACATCTGGCGATCTGTTTATTTGGCAATCGCCAATGGCAGTCAGCAGGGTTTAAGAACATCAGTTGTTCGACCTGCTAGTCTAATGCGTTTTGTTAAAATATACTTATTCACTCTTTTGGTCTTTTGGAAAATGTTGTTTCTGCTGTATTTAGATCCCTCTAACAAGACATTTGTTTTGTATGCACACGTATAAAAATTGCGGTTTTTATCCAACGCAATCATAGGTTTGAACGTTTTTTTTCAATTTAGACTTGTTGATATTTTTTCGTTGGGCTTGTATTATATTTGCCTTCGGGTTTATCTGATCCGTTCATCCTATTTCGACTTTCAAAATTAAGTGTCTGTCCTAAATTGAGGTAACTTATATGGCCTCCCAAATACCGTTCCGATTCTTAACATCACTGAAGAGACATTAATTGTCGAAATCCGGAGATGGTGTACTACTTTTTGCAGTTTTTGTTTGCGGGATACCATTTTTTTTAGCAAGATTATTGTTTTCTGTTTAGTATTAAATTAATAATTAAGATCCATTTTGTTACATCTGGTGATCCGTTTATATGGCAATCGACAATGGCAGTCAGCAGGGTTTAAGAACATCCGTTGTTCGACCTGCGAGTCAAATTAATTTTGTTAAAATAGACTTTTTCACTTTTTTTGTCTTTTGAAAATGTTGTTTGTGCTGTATTTAGACCCCTGTAACAAGAAATTGGTTTTGCATGCACACGTATAAAAATTGCAATTTTTATCCAACGCAATCATAGGTTTAAACGTTTTTTTTCAATTTAGACTTGTTTATATTTTTCGTTGGGCTTGTAATATATTTGCCTACGGGTTTATATGATCCGTTCATCCTATTTCGACTTTCAAAATTCAAGAGTCTATCCTAAATTGAGGTAAATTCTATGGCCTTTCCAAATACCGTTTCGATTCCTAACATCACTGAAGAGACATTAAATTGTCGAAATCCGGATTTGGTGTACAAATTTTTGCAGTTTTTGTTTGCGGGATACCATTTTTTCCGCAAGTTTATTGTTTTCTGTTTGGTATTAAATTAATAGATAAGATCCATTTTGTTACATCTGGTGATCCGTTTATTTGGCAATCGCCAATGGCAGTCAGTAGGGTTGAAGAGCATCCGTTGTTCGACCTGCTAGTCAAATGCGTCTTGTTAAAATATACTTTTTAACTTTTTTGGTCTTTTGGAAAATGTTGTTTGTGCTGTATATAGACCCCTCTAACAAGAAATTTGTTTTGCATGCACACGTATAAAAATTGCGGTTTTTATCCAACGCAATCATAGGTTTGAACGTTGTTTTCAATTTAGACATGTTTATATATATATATATATATATATAAGTTCTGTTCATATTGTTGATTTTAATTCTCTTTGTTGGCGTGGTCATTGGAAATCATAAAATGCATCTTTTGTTTATGTATTTAAAATTAGTATTATTAACGCTAAAAAGGCACAGACATACTTTTAGAGATAAACTTATAGCCATCCAGTTAATATGATTTTTCTATCTGTTAACACTAATTTTCCCCGTAACAAAGAGTTGTAATGGATGGTTTCAGGTCAAATTGACTTCGTTTTGTTAAATTAACCTAGTTTGAAAGCAGCACCCTTAGGTATGGACACTCACATTTTTGTAGTTTATGGTAACCGTGTTTCAGCAGCAAAAAGTAAAACAAAAAGGAGATCAATAGTTTCATATCCCGAACTGTATCACCTCCCAGATATAGAATGAAATAACGTTAAAAAAGTAAAAGCACTATGAATAATGTTTTACCTAGTATCATTTTACAATAAACCACGATTTGCATTGTTATTTCATTTGTTCATGAACAATGTATTTCTTTGTTTGACAATTGAAACATTAATTTAAAACCATATTTACTTAAAGGCCCAGTTGAATACTACGATTCAAATTGTTAAAATAAATCTAAACACCGGATATTTTCAACCACAACACATATATTGTTTATATAATTTTGACACAATCTTTTAACTTGTTCGTTTCCAATACTCTTTAACTTGAAAATTGATTTGTAAGTTTTTCTTTTTAATTTAATGCCACTGCTAAGTCATTTGAAAACAAACAAGCCTCTTGATTGCTAGATTAGAAATCGTGTATACATTGTGATGTGTTTCAAACTTTCCCTCTGGCCTCTGTTTCGTTGTTAACTACATGCAATGCTTTTCATTTTAGATGATAGAGACACTTTGCCTGTTTTCGTTATTTTTACAAGGTAAGAACAAGTTAAGGATATATACAAATGCTTATTCATATATGTCTAACTTAGCAAAATCTACTTTTATGACTTGCTTTTTATTTAGTAGAAATGCAAACATACTGTCATTCACTAAAAGCATACGTTTATACTCTGATTATTTAAAAAAAAAAATGTTGTATAAAATCCAAAAAATAAACGTTTCTATACTCCAAAACAGTGTGTGGGATCGGAACGGTTGAAAAATTGATAGATGTTAAGTTTCCATAGATATTTAAAACTGTAACCGAAAGATGCAAACATTACAAGACGTGCCCCATTAATCGATAAATACTATGTATGCATTGAAGTGTTTACAAGTTATATTTATAAATGTAGTGTGTCAAAAGCAATTTTCAAGATTTGCTTGTATCAGGAACTCTCAAATCTTTACCTGTCAATGCCAGGAATGTGTGAATACATTGAAACGTTATAAGTGATATGATAAAAAGGGACATGAAAGAATAGTCAAGTGCATTTAAGGCGACATTTATCTGAGAGAGTCAGAATCTTCGTATTTGTTCACTCGCTAAGTAATGTGGCTACTTCAATATCTTACTATATAATTATGTTGATATTTGTTGTTTTAACTTTTGATGACCTTTTTTTCTAATGTGCGTGACCTAATTTCTTGTTCTTTTGTACATGTGGAAAACATTTCTAATTATTTTTTTAATGAAGTGAAATCAAAACATTAAAATCAAAATTACGATCTGATGTCCTCGAACCACATCAAGACATTTTCAATACTTTGTGGCACATGAAAAAGTACTTTTAGAAAGCCTAATAAAAGGAATACCATTAATTGTTTGCTGCATTATGCGATGTTGCCAATGTGTATATTCCGATCAAAAAACGTTAATGAAATAAAAAAAAAACCCGGTGTTTATCTAGTCTGACGGTTGCTGTTTACCGTAAATCTAAATTATCAGCATACCAAATAACAATCCAGAGGAGTTCACTTCACCTTGCGCTGGCAAGTGTTTCTGACAACGCGTCGAATAGTCATTGTTCTGACTGCTTATCGTCAAATCCTTTGCAGAACAACAGGTTTAATTTGTATATGAATGCAAATTCAAAAATCAGTACACGAGACAAATAGCAATATCAACATAGCGGTCCGTAATTAGAAGTATAAATAACTGCCATGCTTATTTTGTTGTGAATTAATTTGAATGTTGATTTATTTTTACATTTTGCAGGTCTAGCCATATCAAAAAACAATACAGTTTACACCACTGAGAGGTCAACTTTGATGTTGACATTTAACATACATAATTACAGCTGGCGTTACTTATATGACACAAACCTCAATAGGCAAGAATACAAAATGGTATTTAGACCAATTCTTATACAAATCCAGATGATAAATGTTACAGCAAGCGATACAGGACATTACTATTTGTGCAGCAATCATCGTTATATTTCTGCAACGGAATTTAACAAAAAACGTATGTTTATCGTAATTTGCTAAGTAATAAGTAATGTTCCTTAAAATCCTCTTGATAATCTTCAGTGATAAGTATGGCACACATATAAAATAAATAAATAAAGTCAAATCGGGAAGGAGAAGAGTGGATAAGTTTAAATGTAACTGATTTCAAATTAGGCCTTGGTTGAGAAATTCACAAAGTTATGCAGCTTTTATCTATTAAGTGTTTCGTATGAACATTTCAAAAGATTTAAAATATTATCGTTATGCGCAGAAAATGAATGACAGTATCGATCAAAAATAAGAATTAAAATGATCTTTTCTCAAGTGTCCGTATTTTGATCTGTACATTTCTATAATGATTCAGTGCAACAGACGTGTCCCCTTCTAATTACATTGCTTCCTTCGTCCGTCGTAGTCCGTTTACTTTTAAAAATATGTTCTCCTCTCATATTAAATAAGGGTATCCAATTGAAAAAAAAATGTTCTCGATAACCCCGCCTGCCAACCAATGTTGCTGACATAGCAAACACAAGGACGCATTTGGATAAAATAAAAGTGTCAACTATTATCTTGAAAACAGCTATAAGTAAATACAATCGGACAAGGATTTATTGTATTCACAAAGGAGGCAAAAGATAACAAACAGATCTTCAAACTCATAATTGACGAAATATACCATTTTTTTATGTTTGCCAATTATCTTGCTTACTATAATATATAGAGAGAAACTGTTAATAGCAAATATGACAGACGACTGATTTTTGCAGTTATTTATATTAATGACGATGTTTGCCAATTTGATGCGTGTTTGTCTAATATCTTAAAAACTTTAAAAGATAGATATATATATTTTTATAAACTTTTTGTCCTTTTTGGGGGGTTTATAAGCTCTGCATATTTCTAATAATTTTTTCATTTTTATTCTTTGGGCTTTAGTCTCATTGAATAGACATTTAATGTCGAAATATGCATCGGATGCGGTAACATTGATAGCGTTAACGTGATAACTACCACGGGTTCGATACCTCCGATAGTAGTCCATGACGAAATTACCAGGCCGGTAGGCAATACTTCGGAACTTGCATGAAAATGAAGAATTGTTGATATAATAAATGTCCTAAAATTGTCTTAAATTGAGAAATATTTCCCCCTAATGCAATGCTCTAATTCATTGTCTGTTTATGGCAATACTTTCCGTCACTTTGTTTATAAGCTCTTGGTGTTTTTACTATTTTTTTATGTTTGAATATTTTAGCCTCGATCATCACTGAAAAAATATATATATTGTCAAAATGAGCATCACTACACCACTAACAGTGATCAGATAGACATATCTACAAATAAGTCAACATGCTGTAAATAGCGACAAGACTCGTTGTTTGAGTTATTGGCAATTAAACGGCGATTTTTGCCAATATATGCTTGTTTGACTAATCTTCTAAAAATTATAAAATATAGATAGACATTTTCAATAGTAACATTGATCAGCAAGGCATTATGAGAAAATAAGTCATTTTTTTTTGTAAACTGAAAGAAAAAAGAAAGAAACTGTTTATAGAAGAAATTACCTAAGATACAACATCAACAACAATATATTTTGTCATGAATTGACTTCTATTCCACAATGTTGGAGAGTATCCGTTCCTGAAAAATACTTGGTCGAATTATAAGATGCATGTGTATGTTAATGTGTAACTTCCAACTATATAAGGTACACACATACATTTTATATTCTATTTAAGTTGCAGAAACGACTTATGAAATACGAGAAGGGAAGCAAAGAGTAATTACAAGAAGATCGTCAGAGGTTTTAAGCTATATAACCGATTTGTTTCTTTGTCATGATGGGAACGAAGTTGTCTTTTCAAGAAGAAAGAACTTCCGAAAATTCAGCACCTTTACCTTGCATGTTTACAGTACCCCTGCAGTCAAAGGCTTTCTTGCACTTGATCTCTCATATGTTTTTTCTTCGATTGTGCTGAAAATAGCAAGTAAGTAGTCTATCTAAAGGGAACAGCAAAACATATACTAGTATATGTCTTAAGTATCTTTCGCCTCTTTTAATAGTTACAAAATATATTGACTAGTTTGTTTTATAATACATCAAAATAGATATTTATTAAATTACAAATGTATGTGTTCAGTTCATGTTACGCTTTGTCATAAAACACAGAATTGTACCACAAAGGTGGTACGGGTGTCCTGTACAATAGGGCTCTGTGCTATTGGTTTGATCCTGATCGATGTTGTGTGGTCTTATTTGTGATGGCGGGATAGTTAGCATTGTAACATAATGGCAATAAAACAATTCTCAAGCTATTGTTTTATTTTCTTCTGGTAGTTGGTACGTATCTCGCGAGGTGAATAGAGCAATCCGTTCTTTCAAATTCATGCATATTCGCAAAGGGAAATTGTCCTGAAAATTGCCTTTTGTTTTGCTATTCTGCTCATTTGAATTTTGAATTATAAAAAAAAAATAGCAGGATGGTGTTGCATGACAACCAACATACGATGCTAGTATAATATATAAATTCCAGTGTAGACATGATTGGCAATTGAGAACCTATCCACCACATAACAAATCACATTCTGTGTAATCAGTCATTGGTAACCGTATGTCATTCAACGATGAGCAAAATCAATGCCGTTATGTAAGTTATTTAAGTCCCCGGCATAACAAAATGTAACACAATTCAATTAGAAAAAAAGGCCTGATAAAAATATATATATATATTTATATATAAGTCTATAAAAAGACCAACCAGAGAATTCAATATGTACCGGATACTCTGGAATAGACGATACTGTGCAAATTAGGAAACATTATATAAGTATAAAGATTTGCACAATGGTACTAATATAAGATGATAATATACGAAGGTGATGTTATATGTCGACACGATTTTATAATATCATTTTCGTATATTTTAAGTCTATAGACCTGCAGAACGGTACTAATATAAGATTGTTATTAAATTAGGTACAGCATTAACATCAATTACGATCGCATATTGCGATTGAATTAGTCCTGTTCTAAAGCTAGCGGCTGGTCAGGTCTACTAAAACATAAATAAACTTGTCGACAGAACCGCTTGTCAGCTGTTGCTAAAATATTTGAAAATGTTATTTTTTTTTATAAAATAAACAAAACAGTATTTATTAAACTTTGATTAGAATTAAAAAAAATTATGATCCAACTTTTCAAAGAAAATTCAAAACGGAAAGTCCGTAATCAAATGGCAAAATCAAAAGCTCAAACACATCAAACGAATGAATAACAATTGTCATATTCCTTACTTGGTACAGGCATTTTCTTATGTAGAAAATGGTGGATAAAACCTGGTTTTATAGCTAACTTAACCTCTCACTTGTATGACAGTGGCATAACATTCCATTATATTGACAACAATGTGAAACTAGTATATCAAACACTTATTTTCACTGCATCGATAGTTCAAGATTGTTCAAATGTCAAGGAATAGTACATACATCGATAGCTATAGCTGTTCATATCAAGACTTTACGATGATACCAATGATCAAGAAGCTATTGATGTCATCATCGATTGCGTTGACTGTTACGCATTTTCTCTAGTTCATTGATGATAACTTTAATATTCACTTATCTTAGCAAAACCCTTATTTTTTTTTCTGCATTCTGAGATTAACGGCTCTTGCAATTATCAATTTAACTATTACCACTAACAGAGCAGGAGAATCTGAATTCAACACTGGTGTGCCTTTTGCACAGTTTTTAGATGTAAATGCGTTATGATTTTACGGATAACGTTTTATTGTTCACGACAAATGCCAAATTGAATATACATGCATAACCTGCATATTGGTAAAAACAATTACATTAATTTATTCAATTTTAATCTACCTTGTTCCCAGATAATCAATAGCGGTTTCCTGTAGCAAAATCCAAATTTAGATTACAACAACCTTGTTACAATCACGCGCTTTTCAAATCATCTGGCACTTAGACAGCCTGTTTTTCTTAATATTTATGTAACGTTGGTTTTAGTGCAATACATACATTAAATCTGTACATATAAGCTGCCTCCTTTTTCAAAAATCCGTATGACCCATTAAGTTCTTATACCCACAGAATCTAAGAAAGAACAATTTCAGTCAGAGACATATCAACGTCCATAAAAAAAGTCTTAACCTTGTAATCATCGACATATCACTTTTCAAATAATATTAAGCTCTCCTAAACATGCTAAAGAACCTTAGTAGTTCTTCGTAAAACCTAACACAAAACACATATCAGATATGTATTTTCACAAAATTGATGTAATTTGTATGACAAAAAGAAAAAAGAAAATATAAAGGAGGCATTCACTGAACATACGCTATTGTCAGATATACAGCAGTGTGATAAATAGAAATACGACGCAAAGCTGCTAAAGTAGAGACTCTTTCAATCTTATTGGAAATGTGATGTCTAAACTATCCTTAAAAGGTCTGGATTCAAGACAGTTTTCTCCGATTGTATGTTTAAGGACCAGTTGCATCCACGTGGTTCACATTAAAGCAAACTGAACTTCTTGATCATTATGTATACTTTGTTGTAGCTGGTGTGTTTCTTTTTCATATCTTTGTTTACTACCTTCACTGTTTAAAGTATCCGTATTTCCTATGCATTGTAAAACATAAAACAATGAAACGATGAAATTAGTGTGCAGTTTTCAGAACACCGTACTGTAGTAAGTACTTACATGCTTCTAGATATCGTCGCTAGGCTTTCAAAATGTCATATACTTTCTCGTACAAACCGGCTTGGCGTGAGGAAATAATCCAACATATCATACATTTAGACCAATCAAAACATTTGAAATAAGACATGTTGGAAATAGTATTGTTCGTAAAGTTTGTTTCAAACATGTTGTTTGTGAACTTGAAAAATGGTTGTATAATGCTTCGGGAATCAAAATCTTGTAATTTTTTTTTTTTGTGACAAAATGCTTACCGTACAAAATGAAGACCTTACATTGACCTCTTATGGTTTACTTTAACAAATTGTGACTGGAATGGAGAGTTGTCTTATTGGCATTCATACCACAACTTGTTATATCTATTTAGTTTTTGTTTTATCCAGAAATGTCCAAGCTGTACAGCATTACATTAGTAATTTACTACATTTTGGAAGCCCAGCGACGATATTTGAAAAAAAACACGTTCTCTTATTTCAGAATTATGGTTTATTAACCAAACGGATTTAAACACAATAGTTGGACAGGAAGGTACACCTATGGAGATCAAATGTTCATCTGACACTGAACAGTACATTACTGCTTTAAAGTTAGAATATAAAGATTCAATCATAGCAGTTGGTGATAATCAATATGTGAGTTTTTTGTTTATACCAGACAGAACAGACCATATGACAAAATGTAAATGTCTAGACAGTACTCACTCGTCGATGATGATTGAAGTTCAGTTAATCATTATGTGTAAGTATGTATCTTTGGTAGTTGGAAAACGAAATGTTGTTAGATTTTTAGTGGTAAATAAATTTGCTTCCTTAATTATTAGTACAATTTGGAAGCATAAAGTATTATCAGGTTATTTATACAAAATGTATTCAAGAGCGGATATGTTCCTCATGTCGTAACTACAATCCCGTTCCCTTTTCACGAATGTGACTTATCGATTTAGACTTATTGCTGGGTTTGTACTAACATGAGCAACACGACGGGAGCCACGTGTGAAGCAGGATCTGCTTTCCCTTCCGAAGCACCTGAGTTTTCCCCAGTTTTTGGTGGAGTTCATGTTGCTTAGTATTTATTTTTCTATGTTGTGTTTTGTGTACTATTATTTGTCTGTTTGTTTTTTTCTTTTTAAGCCATGGCGTTGTCAGTTTATTTTCGATTTATGAGTTTGAATGTCCCTCTGTTATCTTTCGCCCCCTTTCATTGTTATATCTTTTAACTTGGAATCGTAAAAAAAGAGTTCACTTCTTATAACAACATGTTTCTGAAGAGCTTATTAGTTTGATTATAGGGTTCCAATCATATAATGGAGATCATATCAATGTGATAGGAATGTATTATAATTCATATTGTACCAACAACATCTACAGAAAGACTTGTTTCACTACTCAGACACAGTAATATGTCTCCGACCTGAACTCGATTTAATTTTTATCTCAATTGCCGCTTAATTGTCATATTGCTTCAATGCTTTCAAATAAAACCATTGATATTCTTGGAATCAAGTTCACGCACTCTGAGAACGCAGAACTCTACAATAAAACCACCTAGTCAGTTTCAGTGAACTTAAAACAATATGAAATTACAGTGGATATGCTAATCGATGAAATAAGGCCCTCATATTCCAGAAGCATACAATGTATCTGGATCCCATTCGATGATCAACCAATACGGCAGAAGATAAGGAAATCGTGTTTGCTGAAGCCCTCACAAAAACCAGCCAGTCTACAATAACGATCGATCATTACAATGATTTATATTACGTCCTTACAATCTCGCATTTTCGTACGTTTTGAAACATATATTTCTCTACACCATTGATCTATTTTGCAATGGCTGTTTTATTGAAGCTTACTGAATGAAAGGATACGAAGAATAAAGTTTTCATATAAGGAGGGGTTAAACATGGTTACCAAATGTTGATTTATTTAGTGATAGAACATCATCTGTTTAGATGAAAGTTAAGTAACAGGATACTGCTGACTCTTTTTCTTTCGTCATTCGAATTTCCTGTATTATGGCAGTCTTGTATGAATAAGGGAAAAAGCCAGCCAGTAGAGGAGTACAAATAAATAAAATATCTTGACAATGGTCAGTTTCAGAGAATGTTTGAATGAATCTTAGTGATGGTTTACTTAGTACGATTTATCCCTCAAATGACAAGATACTTGTTTCATCGCAGGTCTTTTTTAAAAAACAAAGTAGAGCCAACTAGTTTAATTTGTCTTAAAGTTTAGAATCATAGTTATATCATTTGCAGATGCCCCTGCAGTTACAGTTCGTTATACGAATGAAACGGTGGAATGTGACGGACATGGAAATCCAGAAATATATAATGTGTACCGCTTAGTTCAATTATCAAAGTCTTTTGAACTTGTACGTTCAGTGAGTTTGAATAATGAAACATTCATTTTCAACACGAACCTTTTTCCATACCAGCGAAATGGTAGATATATGTGTGTTGTTAGTAATGGTATACCAGATATTAATGGAAAGGTTCTACAGACTGAGTCAATATACCTAAAATATGAAGGTAATATAAATACATACAGATCACATACACATATCTCCTGGAATTTGTTGATTAAGATGTAGCATTGTGTGCACCGTAATAGTGCAAAATGAACGTTGATATTTCAACAATAGTTACAAAAATCAATTAGCATCCGTTAATTGTAAAATTAGCCTTAAACAATTTCCCTGATTTTACCTTCAACTTGTCAATAAAATTCTTCATGGGCAATAACAATGAATAACACTTTAATGGTGTCATTATCATGCAGCTCATCGGTCAGAGAATGACATTTGAAGATTGAAACAAAAAAAATGACCTTTACATTTAAGCATTATAATGATTTTTTTATGTGATTGAAAGCATAAGAATAGTTAAGAGTGTGCATTATTAACTTACATGTGAGTGGTCAAGTCTTTGATCTTAGTGAACTATATCGTATATTTACCAGATATTTTCGGTATATATTGTGTTTTGTTTGATTGTCATCTCATTAAGGCTTAACAAGATTTTCTTATACTCAACTTCAATAATGTCTAAAGCGTATAAATCATTACCATTATAAAATTTCAGACCAAATTCCAAATAATTCCTTTAAAAACATATTTAATTACCCACTACTGCAATATGATATAATATTCCGGTATGTAACGAAAGTTTACGAAAGTTCGTTTTTTTCATACACTGGTTGGTTCCAGTACACATGACATAGCTCAACTATTGTTGTAATTGTTAAATTAGTTCAACTATCATTGCATACATATTATGAGATGGTAATGAAATCATTTAACACAGATATGTGTATGTAATAAATGACAATCTCTTAAAGTAAGCATCCACAAGAACGTAAACTTAGGCATTACCATTATGTTGCAATCTTATAATATTATAAAGTGCTTATTAACATTAAGGTACCAATTTTACTGCTTTAGATGCATATTCCGTCAATAAATATCTCTTAAGTGATGATCGAGGCCAACATATTTTGAAATCCAAAATTCATTCAAAACTTGAAGAGCCGAAGGTTCGAATGACTTCTAGATTGGTTTTAATAATTATTGGTGTTTTTGTCAGTGCAATGTTTATTCAGTGATGTAATGAAGTTCTAATAAATTTAATTAGTTGTGTATTAGTGTAAACAATTTCTATTAAAGAAAGCGTTATGTATAGTAGCAAGAGTAAAGACATAAATACGAAATGTACAAGTGATTCAATAATTGGGATAAGGAAACAAGAGCACTGTTCTTATATTAATCCGTCTCCATAAATTCTAAAATAAAATTACGAAACTATGTTTACATGCTGAAAAGCAAACGAATATGTACGTAACAAAATACAGTCAATGGAAACAATAACATAAAGAAAGTTCATTATCAATTGTTATATATATATATATACAAGAAAATAGCAAAGGAAGGCGGTGAAAGGTGTTTAGGAAAATGAGAGTATTATGATAGAATGGAATAATTGTATATTATAAGATTGTATTTTTTTTGGCGACGTCAGTTGGTTTGATAGCTTCCTTGTATATACTATATTATCTACTCTCTCCAAGAAATCCTACTACGTTTCGCAAGCTATGTATTATCGTATAAACTGGGAGATACATATTCAATATGCAGGCGGTGCTTTGAGTTGAGAATTTATTTCAAGACTAAAAACCCATTTATATAGAACACTCATTAAGAGAAGTGATATGTTATACGTCCACAATATAGAACGAGAGGACTACCTTGTTATGAAGTAATGGGGTATATTAATTCTCGCAACAAAACCCGTGATCATTCTGAATATACAAAAGGTAAATAACGTTCAGCATTTGTTAAGTACAATTATATTCTGAATTGAGCTATATTTTACCACTTATGTAATATAGCATGATTTTAGTAACGACATAATAAATACTTTTCCACTGATGTCAGAAGCATTCTTAGCGGTGTTATAGTGGATTTTATAGTCTATAAATAATTTGATATACTGTATATACAGTATTATCTTTATGACAGCACACATGAATCAACGTAAACTGTTTTTCACATCTGATTCAAAATATTTTTGTCTTTCTTAGGTCCACCAGTGTTTTCACCAGAAAACAGAATTGTAAAAACTGGAGAAGTAGGACAATCAATAACACTGTCGTTTCAGATCTACAGCTACCCTGAAGTTGAAAATATATCGATAGAAAAAATAGGACAGAACCAAAAAAAGTATAAAAAAGATAAAAAATACAACATTCGGAAATCTACATTGCATTACACGGAGACTGGCAACATGGTAGGAATTCCAGGTTATGAGATCTTGATTGAAACTGAAGCATTAGAAGTAGATGATTTTCAAGCTTATCTGATAACAGCAAAGAATCGCTTGGGCGAAAGCAATTATCATTTTGAAATTATAGATATTGGTAAGTATAAAGATAACATAAGACAATGTTACAATCAAAAACCTCTTTAATTAAAATGAGGATTATCTCAGCAGACCCGGAAGTTCAAGCAGCAGATACCGTTTAACAAGTGACATGTTGTTCATGGCAAATGCAAATTCGGTGAAATGTTGCATTCGTAGATGCTGCATTCGTAGAAAAGCGGAAGTTATAATGGCTCCCACAATTGGAAAACGAGTTTTGAAGCGTTTTTGATTATAGGATTGTCTTTGGCATTATGTTTTTCGACACTAAAAGCAGAATTCGTAAGCAAATAAGTTTTCATGCAGTTGTCATACGCTTGCCAACATTCCCTGAATGACCTCAGATAACCACTCATATAGATTTTTTAACGTAGTAACATCATTTCAATCCGTTATTGTTTCTTACTTTCCACCGAATATGAGTATTTTTGCTTAAGTCTGAAACAATCAAACTTAGCAGTGCAACTTGTGGGACTAATACTGATAACTTACAGTTGTAGTAACAATTGTCTTCAAAAACACAAAGCGTAAAGCCTGCATAAAATATTGTAACTACATCAATAAGGCAAGTGGTTGTTTGCTACTTAAAAAGATGAATTCCAGGTATTAACAAATTCAGATTCAAATATTAATAGCCATTTCAACTCTAAACAATAAGCTTGTGACAATACAAAAACAAAGTACAAGCGAGTCTACAGAATCGTGAATATGGCTACCGAACTTCTATTTAACACTTATTTACTTGAACATGTGTAGATTGTTGCCATCTGTGCCAAACATTTGTTTGTTCACGTATTGTTTATGTTGTACGGTTTTCTTAAATGACATTATTTTTTTAATTAATGGATCAAAAAAGATACACGGAATGACGATAGGAGAAACATGTAAGAGATTGAAAACAAAATCATACTTTCACTTCTGTTGAAAGATACCAGGCCAAACTAAACAAAATATGAAAGCTTTATTCGGCGACTTTGTAAACTAAATTGCTCATTTCAATATTTTTAATGAATATACGTATTTCAGATAGTCTCCCCTTGGGCAAAAGTAAAAGAATAAATTTCGTAGTAGTTTGCTGCATAGCTACCATTCTACTTGTTTATTTGACGATTACTCACGTCTGTTTATGTGTAAAATATGTAAAGACTCGGGATCAAAGACTACATAATCTGCAAGAAGACCACACTTATCACACATATGATGAAATTGACACAGTTTCGTTCCGCGTTGTCAGCAACTTACGTTCGGCACAGACGACCGACAATCTAGGTCAGAACCCGACGGAAGGGCATACAGCTGGTGTCTCAACTGATGCTAATCTGCAATCAACCAATGAGTATACAACTGAATTGAATGCAGACTTTCTCAATGATGGGTTACAACAACATGAGATAACAGAAGTGCACGGGCAAAGTATGTCTACACCTTTGATTGACACGAACCTTTCTAATACAGATTTATCGCCGATTACGTCTTCTGTTATATTAAGAATGGAGAATGTCGCAAATTGCAATCAAACTAATGAAAATACAGAGACATCAAGTGAACAAAAGAGTAAAACTTGTAATGACTCTGATAGTGGATCATCAAATAATGTTATGGTAGGCAATGTAAGAAATGAATATGAAAACAATTACCAACTGCAAGATGGTCACCTGTACCTTGATATCCTTGATGACAGACAGATCAGCATCTCAGCTACTGACTCTAGTACAAACAACCAACAAAAGAGTCAAACAATTAATGCCTCTTATAGAAGACCATCATATAATGATATGGTAGGCAATGTAAGAAATGAATATGAAAACAATTACCAATTGCAAGATGGTCACCAGAACCTTGAGAGCATTGATGACAGACAGATCAACAACTCAACTACTAACTTTAGTACAAACAAACAACAAAAGAGTCAAATTAGTAAAGACTTTGATAGTGGATCATCAAATAGTGTTATGGTAGGCAATGTAAGAAATGATTATGAAAACAATTTCCAATTGCAAGATGGTCACCTGTACCTCGAGATCCTTTATGACAGACAGATCAACATCTCATCTACTGACTCTAATACAAAAACACAACAAAGGAGTCAAACTAGGAATGACTCTGATAGTGGACCATCAAATAATGTTATGGTAGGCAATGTAAGAAATGAATATGAAAACAATTACCAATTGCAAGATGGTCACCTGTTACTTGAAATTCTTGATGACAGACAGACCAGCATCTCATCTACTGACTCTAGTACAAACAACCAACAAAAGAGTCAAACAATTAATGCCCCTTATAGAAGACCATCATATAATGATATGGTAGGCAATGTAAGAAATGAATATGAAAACAATTACCAATTGCAAGATGGTCACCTGCTCCTTGAAATTCTTGATGACAGACAGACCAGCATCTCATCCACTGACTCTAATAAAAACGAACAACAGCCACTTGAGACAATATCGACAACGGAACCAGTTTACATCAATCTTTAGTTCTAATTTATGTTCAACAAACTCAATTAAGACTTGATCGACCAATTTATTTTAGCTTGGAGGCAGTGGAAACAAATATACATACAGAAGACAGCAATAAGTAAGTGAATAACTACTTTCTTATAAACATTTGAATGCACTCTGCGTCTGCTTTCGACTAATGGAAGGATTGTTTAGCATATAAGTAGTAAAACTGTTAATGGTTTTTTGTATATTTTACCACAATGAAACTGTATATGATAACTTGTATGTAAATATAAAATTGTATATTTTTTTTTTATAGCTTTTTTATATTGCTTGTATAGATTTAACTTAACAATCATACAAGGTACTAGGCTTATACTCAGGTAAGCATGACACACACTTATATCAGTTTCGTTCCAATCAATACCGTTTCAGGACCAACTCAATGTCTAATAAAATTCGACGCGCTTTTCAATGTTTATATTCTCCTGGAACGTTAAAGCCACAATATTTGAAAACCTGAACCACATGAAGAACTATAGGACCAAAAGGCGTCTAAAATAGTGGTTATATATATATCTTAGGTCAACATTTCTGATAGAGTAAAACACTAATTTCCAAATAATTTCTTAATTCATAATCGGACATTGTCAGGAAGGTATGTCAAAAATCATGTTAGTACAGAAGTGCAGATTACTTTGATGATGTTACTCTCTATGACTTGTAATTCACTAACTACGATTTGTACCCAGTACTTTCAAACAAATAACTTTACAAGTGTATGAGAATAATGCGCTTTATTTGTGTAAGCTTTGTCTTCACAAGCCAAATATGTAAAAGAGTAATATAAAAAAATACCGAACTCCAATGGAAATTAAAATCGGAAAGTCCTTTATAAATGGCAAAATCAAAATCTCAAACACAACAAACGAATGGAAAACAACCGTCATATTTTTGACTTGGTACAGGCATTTCCTTATGTAGAAAATGACGGATTAAACCTGGTCCTACAGCTAGCTAAACCTCGCACTTGTATAACAGTCGTATCAAATTCAATGATATTGACAACAAATGTGTGAGCAAATCAAACACACATAATAGGTTAAAGTTAAGATGTATAAGTATGTCGAGAAACGTTATGAGCTATATTATCAAAAGGGACCTAAAATTAAAAACAGAATCCATTTACCGTCAAGTTTGCTAGAAGGAGTTTGAACCTTAGTTTCGTAATAAGTTATAGCATACAACCTTGCCAATAGTTGAGAATGTGGATTACACAGTTTGTAAATTATGTAAAGCTAAATCAAATACAAACAGAGAGCATTTAAATACAAAAACAAACTGGTCTTAGATACTATAGAAAGTCGTATAATGAATGTGAGAAAGTTCACGGGATGAATATCAACAACAATTGAAAGAAACACGATGACATGAACGACCAAATGGTGTTTACTCTCGATAATTATTTATGTGCCTCTCCCAACTCAGTTATCTGTAGTTCAGTGGTTGTCGTTCGTTCATGTTTGTCATATTTGTTTTTCGTAAACTGTTTTATTATAAAATAGGCCGTTAGTTTTCTCAATGGAATTGTTTCATATTTTCATGTCGGGGCCTTTTATAGCCGACCTTACGGTATTGGTTGTTCTCATTGTTGAAGGCCTTACGGTTGCATATAACTGCTTACATCCACTCCATTTGAAATTTGGTGAACAGTTGTATCATTGGCAATTATACTACTTCTCTTTATTTTTATATTGATCCCTTTAAGTAAGTTTAATTTTTCCAACAACCACTGTTAAACCTTATATCAGATTGCTGGTATGCAGCATGTCATATTGATAAAACAGCGGGCGCAATAGAAAACAAGAAGTTTAAAACATGCAATTGTATACTGATCACTGCATAAGGACCTGAGTAGTGACAATTTTTAACGGAGATCTGCAACTCGATGTGTGTTTCTGACGGACAAACCCGGTGACAAATAATGCTTTGGATAAACAAACATTATAAGAATGTTTCAGAGCCATAGTAAAAAACACATCTAGCATCCCTTTAAATATATAACAGTTTAATTTTCTGTAATCAATATCCTAACTTTTTTTATCTTATGTCTCCCAATAATTATTATAACTATCTTAATTCATTAGAAAATGTTTTGATATCGATAAGCTGGTGTATTACTGCAAAACTTGAAAACATATTTTACCAAAAACTCTTGGCACAATACAGACAAGAAAGATCAAATTCAAGACAAAAACATGAGAAATTATAAACCAAAAATGAATTACTTAATGAAGGTTTATTTATTTGTGTTTTTTTATGATGCCAGTTTACCTTTCAACTTTCACAATATAACTGAAACAGAATAATTCCAAAAATAAAACTATGACATAAGACAAAACAACATTGACGTCAAGATGTGTTAACGATATTTGCTATTAAATCCTGATCGAAAAACAATTATATGACACATACGTATACATGTTCAAGTATAGTTCGTATGGATTTGCACTATATATTTCTAAAAGTAACACATTGGGAATTACATTAATCCTAAGTGTGCATTTGAAAACGATAATCATTTTATTTATTACACAATATGTATGCTGAATTTGAAGATGTCTTGGCTGTAATTGTACATATCAATATTCACAAGCGACAGACTTTAAGTTTAGATGCGTATGATAGCAGTCAGTCTCAGGAAACAAAACATCTTCACTACTCCCATCCAACAGTAAAACCCGATTCTAGAAATAAGGGAAATCGTACAAATACGCAGCAGCTCCTCGTCAAATTCGGAAAAAAATTGATGTTTAGTACAGAAGGAGTAACTCTTTATCCAAACGTAACATAACCGTCAACAACTCTTCAGTTTGGCTTCAAGCAAAGCAAAAATTCCACCAATATCAGACATACTTTCTTCTTGTACATGTTGTTATAGTCCGGCCCTTTATTCTAGTACACCCAAATTGAAAAACTTTGCATTTTATTTCATGTTTCATGTCTTCCTGTCTTGAACAAGTATAAAGGTATTTAAAAGTAAAATAATGAAAATAGCGTACTCCAAGGAAAATTCAAAACGTAAAGTCCCTTAACAAATGTCAAAATCGAAAGCTCAAACACATCAAACGAATGGAAAACAACTGTCATATTCCTGACTCGGTACAGGCATTTCCCTATGATGGAAATAGTATGATTAAATCTATTTTATAGCTAGCAAAACCTCTCACGTGTATGACAGTTGCATAAATTAAGATATATCGTACGATGTGCTGAACGTTTACTTTATGGTATGCCAAAATATGATCTATCTTCCAATAATCAAATACAAAGAGAAATATCAAACCAAGCAGTTTATTCTTTATAACGTTACAAGCGAGGAATAAGAACTGCCTTCGATTGATGCTTGACTTCCTTGACTTCTTGTTGAAGGTTATAGCTATCTCGATGTAGTGAAAGCAGATGCCATTGTTTATTACTAAACCTTTATCGATTAACAAGGACAAGCTTCACTTTATGCCAAATATGGCCTTGACTATTTTTTATTCATACATTCCCTTTTGAAATGTGAATATTTATTATGTCATTCATTGTTCATCGTCGACTCTCATAACCTTCATCATACTTGCTGTAAATGTATTTTCTCATAAAATACCCATACCAGACTATCATCCAAGCAAGAATAACTAGTATACGAGTGAACAAAAGTCATTTATCATATTGGAACTAGTGCAAAGGTTTACATTGTAGTACTGAAATAACAAAAAAGCAATAAGATATAACACATATCCGTTTCCTTTTTATATTTCCCGTGTGAAAAGTTACAAAATACATGTCTATTTTCTTATTTTTTTTACATATAAAATAACAAATGAATAGGATGTCATTGTTACTGTGGTGAATTTTACATTACAAATGTTTGTGATTGATTCCATAAAGAATAAAAAACTGTACTAAAACTGAAGTTGGCCACATAAATATCAATCATAAGATTGCATATCTAATAATATTCTGTTGTTTGCAATTGTTATTTTTTACCTGGGTAGCCTTTGTATATCTCATACAAAATTATATATTAAATTTCTATCAATCAAATCAAATTTTAAAATGAACATTTATACTTACTAGTAATGTATCCAATCAATAAGAAGAGTTACAACTAATAGCATACACAACACAAAACTATGATAAAAAAAAATAAAGAGATGTGGGATGATTGTCAATGAGACAACTATCCACTAGAGTTCAAACGAAATGGATATTTACTGAAAGTTAAAACACGGTTTGCGTCATAAATATTAAAACAAAAAAGTATACCTGCAGGTCTTTTTTTTAAAAGTAAAGAAGCATTCAATTGATAGACGGTATGCAAATTATGGATGAAAGGCCGGACCAAAAGGTTTTATGAAAAAATCAAGCATAACCAAGAAAATGCCTGGATGATTTTGTTAACGTGTTTGCCAATGCATATTGCTATTTAAAACAGTTAATAAAGAAAACTGAACAACAAGATAAAAATATAAAACACATTACACATGTGACATGAAATTGAATAATATATTTAACAAGGTTTGGAACAACCACGACTAGACAACATCATCTTTGACAAAATAAAACGGTATTGAACATTAAATTGAAAATAGCTGTATTGTACTGTTAGCTCGGACTGCGTAAAACGTGGCCTTTACTATCGGGAATTTAGTTTACCTAGCGACACGTAGAGTATTAAAACGGACATTTGGAGTAAATGTTTTACGTAGGACCTGCCATGTGCTCATAAAAATTTCGAGCACGATTATCGTTCTCAGTTTCAGAAATCAACCAATCAAAAAATTGGATTCGGTGTTTTGAGCACACATTTTGTCCTTCGAGTTCAGAGTAAAGTTTTATGACCGAGAGTCCTGGTTTAAAATAAAATACAGTTAACTCCATAATAATTCAAAACTAACACATATTGAATTCGCGAAGTTTTTTCGGAGTAAACATCACATACAAATAACTCCGGAATCAAAATGTCGGCACCTCTTAGCTACAGTCTGGTAGTCTATTTAATATAGCCCCTAAATTACGATGTTGACAACCCAAAATCATGATTACAAATTTATTGCATCATAATATGTGTTTAAAAAAAATCAATATCAACATTTCAAAAATTATAGGCAAATTATAAAAATAAGAAGATGTGGTAAAATTGCCAATGAGACAACTCTCTTCATAAGCCCAATTGACACAGAAATTAGGTCACCAATCGGCTTCAACAATGAGCAAAGTCCATTCCTCATAGTCAGCTATAAAAGTCCCCTACATC